CCGGGGGCGGGGGAGGGGGGGCGCCTACCAGCATGTCCCCCCCCGGAAGCCTGCGAGCCGGGTTGGCCCTTTTGTCCTGCGGGGCCTGAGGTGCCAGGCGAGGGCTCTGGGGCTGATCCCCCTTCCCCCCCCTCAGACCCACGGGGAGATTCTGAGCTTTGGGGAGACCCTGGGATGCCACGGGCCTGAGCTCTGTGCCCTCGCTCTGCTGGGCTGGGGCAGCCTTGGGCGGGTGCAGAGGTGGTGAGTGGGCAGGTGCCAGGGCTGGGGAGGTCAGTGCCCCCGTGGGGCTAGCAGGCTGCCCCACATCCCAGCATCTGCCGAAAGCCCTGGGATGGGGTGGGGGAGATTCTGAGCTTTGGGGAGACCCTGGGATGCCACGGGCCTGAGCTCTGTGCCCTCGCTCTGCTGGGCTGGGGCAGCCTTGGGCGGGTGCAGAGGTGGTGAGTGGGCAGGTGCCAGGGCTGGGGAGGTCAGTGCCCCCGTGGGGCTAGCAGGCTGCCCCACATCCCAGCATCTGCCGAAAGCCCTGGGATGGGGTGGGAGGAGTTGGGGGCTCTCCCCTGGCTATGCCCCCTCCCCTCAGCCTGGGTGTTCCCCGCAAATGTCAGGGCTGCCAGCTCAGGCTGGTCCCTGCCTGTCCCCCCGGCCCCCAGCCAGCTGGCCTTGGGACACAGCTCAGCGTGCTCCTCTCCCCCCTGCAGAAGAAGGAAGAGAAGAAAATGATGAATGGAAAAGAAGCCAGACAGGAGGCTGCTGCCAGCCCAGGTAAGCGCAGGGTCTGGGGCCCTGCAACGCTTGCCTGGGAGAGCCCCTGCCCTGGTTCACCCTCACCCCTGTGGGATGCACCGTCCCCCCGCCACTCTCCAGACCGCCCCGCATGAGGCCAATACTGCAGGGCCCTCCCATGGCCCAGCCCACCCCACTGGCCCGGTGGGACATGCAGCCCAGCCCTACCCGTAACACACACCAGATCTCCCTGCGGGTGACGCCCACCCTCCACTGCGCCTGCAGCCCTACCCTGCCGGGCCTGATCATCCCACCCTGCCTGGGGGCTGGGCCTGGGGGCTGACCCATCTCTGCTATGGTCCCCAGGCTGTGGGAAGCGAGCAGGGCCGCTGGCGAAGGAAGAGGAGCTCCCTGAATCAGAGACATCCAGCACCGAAAGCCAGGGGGTGCGGACAGGCCCTGAGGGGCTGCAGCAAAGGTATCTGCCCTGGGGGGAGGCAGCAGGCAGGACAGGGTGAGCTGGGAGCACCCGGGGCCAGTAGAGAGCTGGGTATGCGCGGTGGGGGAGGGAGCAAGGGGGCTGGAAGTGCCTGGGGCCCACAGGGAGCTGGGTATGCACGGTGGGGGAGGGCAGGGGAGCTGGGAGTGCCTGGGGCCAGCAGGGAGCTGGGTATGCGCGGTGGGGGAGGGAGCAAGGGGGCTGGAAGTGCCTGGGGCCCACAGGGAGCTGGGTATGCGCGGTGGGGGAGGGAGCCAGACCGCCCCGCATGAGGCCAATACTGCAGGGCCCTCCCATGGCCCAGCCCACCCCACTGGCCCGGTGGGACATGCAGCCCAGCCCTACCCCCAACACACACCAGATCCGCATGAGGCCAATACTGCAGGGCCCTCCCATGGCCCAGCCCACCCCACTGGCCCGGTGGGACATGCAGCCCAGCCCTACCCGTAACACACACCAGATCTCCCTGCGGGTGACGCCCACCCTCCACTGCGCCTGCAGCCCTACCCTGCCGGGCCTGATCATCCCACCCTGCCTGGGGGCTGGGCCTGGGGGCTGACCCATCTCTGCTATGGTCCCCAGGCTGTGGGAAGCGAGCAGGGCCGCTGGCGAAGGAAGAGGAGCTCCCTGAATCAGAGACATCCAGCACCGAAAGCCAGGGGGTGCGGACAGGCCCTGAGGGGCTGCAGCAAAGGTATCTGCCCTGGGGGGAGGCAGCAGGCAGGACAGGGTGAGCTGGGAGCACCCGGGGCCAGTAGAGAGCTGGGTATGCGCGGTGGGGGAGGGAGCAAGGGGGCTGGAAGTGCCTGGGGCCCACAGGGAGCTGGGTATGCGCGGTGGGGGAGGGAGCAAGGGGGCTGGAAGTGCCTGGGGCCCACAGGGAGCTGGGTATGCGCGGTGGGGGAGGGCAGGGGATCTGGGAGCGCCCAGCCCTGGGCCTGGTGGGGGGCAGCAGCTCTGCAGCCTGTGAGGGGTGGAGCGAAAGGGTTTGGGGCTGGGACCGGTGACCCTCCCTGTCCCCACGTGTCACTGTAGCCCCCCATCTTCCGCCAGCCTCCCCAGCAAGGACACGGCGCCCCTGGTGAATGGCGTGCAGCCCAGCAAGCACGAGAACGGCTTTCCCGGGAAGGAGGCGGGCCAGGGCATGCTGGAGCACCCCCAGCACAGCAGCAGCACCGACCCCATCATCCCCTTCGGCAACAAGGAGCCCTTCCTCAAGACGGCCGTCGTCAAGCCCCCTCAGGTCACAGGTAGGAGCTTCCCCTGTCTGCCCTCCTGGGGCCCGGCTGAGCGGCGCCCTCACGCTTGCCTGTTGGGGATTCTCTGGGTGGGCCAGCAGGGGACGGGGCATAGGGCCCAGTGGGGGGTTGGAGCCCCTGCAGGGCCGTTGTGGGGGGGAGGTTGGCTTGGCCCTGGAGCAGATCCTGGCAGAGCAGCCGCAGCCTGTAGCAAACCAGGGCTGCCC